TACAGCTACAAGCTGGTGAGTTTACCTCTGATTGTATCTTTACTTTGTGTAATTATGAAGTTTTACCTTTATATAGAGTTTGATTTATAGAGAGACTGATGCTTGCTAAAAGTTTCTGCTGATTTGAAGTCTTTCCTCTTTCTCTTTCACAAGTCACCATCACTCTTCCCTCTTGAAAGAACACCTACACCATCTTTTTTTAAAGAAGAGATGTCCAGGTCTTTGATAAGTAGACTTTAGAGACTGAGAATTGTTCATAACTAATAGTTCTAGAGCACTACTGTTTCTCTCTCTTTTTCTTCTTCACTAGCTGTTGCTCTCTCTCTGCCAGCTCCAGCTGTAAGTACTTTTTGTGAGCTGATATTTAATTCATATACTGGTAAAGTTTAGAGTTCTGCTGCTCTGTCTTTCTTCTCTGTGGTTGTTGTTACTCCAGCTTCAGCTGGAAATGTAAGTATTCTCTATTATATTTCAGTTTGTAGCTAATCTTCTATAGATTATTGTTGCTATTTTGTCTGCTTCAGCAGGGTTTGTGGGTGCTGTGTACAAGACAAGTTACAAATTAACAGACACATTATTAGAAATAAACAAGATCAAGCAGTCTACATGAACTTATAATTAGAGAAAGATGCAGCTAAGATAATGCCCTTCTGGGTCAAAGCTCACTATAATATAATAAACTACACATCCAAAAAATTCTTCAAGCAGATAAGACTAATCTTCAGTAATTGTACATACTGACAAAACACTTTGTAAAGTTTATACTTAATTTAGCCAGAACAGATCTCTTTCATAATCTTTTTGTCTGAGTTCAATGATTTTCTTCTCAAATCAGACATGCCAATGAACAACTGATTAAGAAAGAAATATCTATAATCAGCCAAACTAATAAAAAGAGCTATTGAAATACCTACAGCTGAGATCTTCAAGAGATACTGCATACAATTCTGTCAGATTGACCACTAGATACAAGAGCTAAATTAAATCAAATCTTATGCACATGTGTATTTCTTCACCTCCAGCTTCAAGACTAGATTCTACATCTCAAAAGAGTCTGCTCCACTTTCTGCTGGCAATTCCATAGATCTTTTCATCAGTGTCAGAATACAGCTCCAGCAAGCTGAACTAATAGACAACAAGAAGATAGAGCTATAGCAGTAAAAAGAACTCTGCCTACATTGTAACATGCTTCAGTAAACTGTTGTTCTGATCTCTTTTTCTGAATATGTTGATGTATTCTCACAATTCTTCTGGTAGAGTCTTCTTGATTTTTTCATTCTGATTATTCTTTCATACTTGCAGCTGCATCAAGTCATTGAGGTTCTTTGTAACTTGATCTGCTTTGTTGTCATGGGTTAGATTTCCATGAATTTCTTCTGTATTGATTAATTATTCTTTATGCAGTATTTTTCTGTTGACCTGACTTATTACAATTAGTGTCTCACTCAAGTTATTTCTGAGTATGGGTCTCTAATCATGATGTACTAGTTCAAGAGAATATTTACAGTTTGTCAGTCTAATCTTTTCTTCTCACCAGTTAATTTCTGGATTAGATTACATGATATAAGTCTGCTCTTATATTTTATCTCAACACCCACAATATCAAGCCTAACCACAATTTATAACCACTGCCTACATCACACCAAGACTGGAAAAAGAATATACAATAAAGAATGACAAGAAGAAGAAAAAAAAATAGCTTTTGTTAAAAAGCACTGGCAGAAGCATTACAAGAAGCTTATATAAGAGAAGTAAAGAAAGTTTGAGAAGATATCTGCTACAGAAATCTTTATCATGCATGTAATTATTAATAATACAGATGTTGCTAAGACTATAATAAATAATAGATGTCAAGATTACTTTCTTATTACTTTCCAAGTCATACAGAAGTATAAGCTTGAGCATATACTTATCTTCAAACAAATACTGAAGAGATTCAATGCAAAGAACCACAAGATAATAAGATATATGATGAAAATAAATCTGAATAATGGGGGGCATAAAATACAAGAAGTCTTTGCATATAAAGTCCCCCAGTTAGATAGATGTAATATAATACTAGAATAACCCTGGCTGCAGTCCAAAATGGCCATACTGAATAAAGAAGAAGACATTCTCTGATTTAAGCTTTTTGACATCACACTATTTACCAAATATCTAGAGCAGGCAGGTTGAGATCTGGAAGTGTTACAAATCTCAGCCAGCAGCTTGATAACTTAACATCAGAAACAGAATATTAAACAAGCTCATATTTTTGCTGCTAGTTTAACCAATATTAACAAGACTCTTTATAGGAAGAATTATCCAGATTGTCAAGTGAAATTATCAAGACACTACCACAAATTTCTAGATATTTTCAGTATGAAGAATGCTAACAAGCTATCTCTCTATTACAGACTCAGAATCAACCACCAGATCAAATTAATAGCAGAAAACAGAAAGAAATCTTAGCTGTTATAGAGATCACTATATAGCATGTTACAGAAGAAGCTTTTAGTTCTACAGAAGATACTAATAGATCTACTAAATAAGAGATTTGTTTAAGTCAGCAAGTTTAGTGCAGCTGCACTAGTTTTCTTTATCAAGAAGTCTGATGACAGTCTATATTTCTGTATAGATTATCAAGAACTAAATAAGCTGATCAAGAAAGATCAATATTCATAGCTTCTAATTAACAAAATTCTGAAATAGATTGGACATGTCAAATGATTCACAAAGCTAGACATTATTCAAGCATTTCATCAAATACAAATATCAGAAGACAATAAATGAAAAACAGTCTTTCAAACATAATACAGACTCTTTAAATAAATAATTACTCTCTTTAATCTTGTAAATACTTCAAGCATCTTCCAGAAATATATTAGTTAGATGCTTTATAACTATCTGAACAAGTTCTGCTCCATCTATATAGATGATATCTTAATCTTCTCTACCAGATTCTGCAAAGAACACCAGAAGCACATATAGAAGATACTACAACAGTTATAGAAAGCAGACTTATATATTAATATTAGTAAATACAAGTTTGAAGTCACTTCAACAAAATATCTGGAATTTATTATTGAGACTGGTAAAGATATACAAATGGATTTCAAAAAGATGCAAGCTATACTGAAATAGAAAGCCTTTACAATAGTCAGAGATATACATGACTTTATTAGATTTATAAACTTCTATCAGCAGTTTATAAAAGACTTCTTCAAAATAGTGATACTACTCACAACACTAACTAGAAAAGACAGTAAATTTAAATAAACTAAGAAATGCAATAATATCTTCAAACTTTTAAAGAATATGTTTACCACTGTATCTATTCTCTTATAGTTTGATACAAGCTGTGAAACAGTGATCAAGACAGATTTCTCAGACTATATAATAAGAATTGTGCTTCTGCAATACAGCAGAAAGAGCATGCTACAATTCTATATCTATTTCTCAAGAAAGAACATATCTGCTGAATGCAACTATAAGATTTATAATAAAGAACTGTTAGCTGTAGTGAAGTATCTACAAGAATAGAACTCCAAGCTCTATAGTGTTAAGAAATTCAAAATTCTTACTGACTACAAGAATCTAAAGTACTTTATAATACAACAGTGTCTTAATAAGAAGCAGATATAATGAATGAACATTCTGAACAACTTTAATTTCCAGATTGATTATCACTCTAAAAAGCTTAATACAGAATCAGATGTACTTTTACACTACAATTAAGATATGCTAGTCAACATTAACAATGAATAGCTGAAGAATCAAGAAGCACAGCTACTAAAGTTTTATATAGTTACAAACAGTGCAATGATCTGCCACATCACTAGGGTGAACAATACAATAGAGCTATTATTAGTCAAATACTGGAAATACACATGTACTACAGACATACAACTTCAAGAGATAGAACAAGTTCTTAAGAATAAATACTTATAATTTCTCTCTGAGCTTCTAGTAAAGATACCTATATCAGACTGTTTACTTAATAATAATAATAAGCTCTTCTTTCAGGAATAGCACTGGATTCTGGATTTCAAAGAGTTATACAAATTATGTAAGAAACTTATGATTCTGTAATAACAAACCATTTAGATAGGGAGCAAATAATCTCTATACTTATATGTGAATATTTCTGGCCTGGATTTGCTAAGAATATACAGCACTTTATACAGAACTGTGATCTCTGCTCAGCAACAATAATATAGAGAGATTATCAGAAAGAGATGCTAAAGCCTCTGTCTATTTCTGATTAAATCTCATCAGAACTCTTAATGAACTTCATTATTAATCTATCAGAATCAGAAAAATATACAAATATTATAGTTATTACAGATTAACTCACCAAAAAAGTTATCTTTAAACTATGCAAGAATATTAGAGTTGAAACAGTAGTTCAAGTCTTTATACAAAGCATATACCACCACTATGGACTATCTACAGCTATTATTTCTAATCAGAGATTACAATTTGTAGATAGCTTTTGAATTCATCTGTGCCAGCTGTTGAAAATCCAGAGATATCTCTCTACAACTGTATACTCTGAAATCAATAAGTCCACAGAATGCATGAACTAAACATTAAAGACTTATCTTAAAAAGTTTATTAACTTTACACAGAATGACTAGGTCTAATAACTGCCACTAGCTAAATTAGCAATCAATAATTATAATACTATATTAACAGAAGTGAGCCTCTTCTTCCTGATACATGAGTATAATATAAGTTCTCTGAATCTTAAAATCAATGTCTTATTTATAAGTCAGTCTCCATGCAATTCTATTGAACAAGCAGAGATTATTATACACAAAATATGGACTGCTAGCAAATAAGCCCAGTCTGTAATAGCTGCTGTTCAACAGAAACAAGAGAAGTACATCAACTACAACTGTGAATCTTTATAGAACTTCAAGATAACAAATAAAGTCTGGCTAGATCTGCATAATATCAAGACAGATCATGCAAGCAAGAAGCTAGATGCAAAGAATATCAAGTTTATAGTTATTGAAATGATTAGCTTATATAGCTACTATCTAGATATATCATCAGAGATTTACAATGTCTTTTATGTGCAGCTTCTCTATCTAGCTGTTATAGACTCTTTCTCTAGCCAGCAACAGTTAAATTGGCAGTTACCAGAAATTACCACCAAGAAAGAGAAGAAGTATGAAATAGAAAAGATTCTCAAGAAGTAGAAAAATCATCAACATATTAAATATCTTGTCAAATGGAAAGAATATACACACCCAACATGAAATGATGCCACACTTATAAAAAACACAGTAGCTCTTGACAGATAGAAATGCTGTAAGTATTAAGACAAGATCTCTAGCACTTGTAAATACTAACAACAGCATAATGCCTAAAGAGCAGGAGAGAGATATTCTAGAAGATTAGACCTCTACTCTTCTTAAGCTGAACTCTCAATGGTATACTGTGTAGGAGATCTCCATGCTATTTCTCTTTAAGCTTAGTGCCATGTACTAATATTGTGAATATATCATACATATGCTTGCCTACCATCCTTTCTCTCTCTTTTTAAGTAGTATGTTTGTATATATAGAGCCTTAGCTAGCAACTTCAGCTAGGCCCATAACAGTTGGTCTAGACCTATATTTGTAACATGCAGACATATTTCAATTATATTTGATCATACATGACAGCCTCTTGTATAATATAGAAGTGAGTATCAATATGTTTGAATTCACCAGATGATATGGAGTTCAATAGAGCTTGAGTAAATTGAATTACACTCTGGTTATTGCTGTATAAAAAAATAAAAGAGAGAGATTTAAGTAGAAGTTCAACATAATTCAGAATTATTGTAGAAAGAATTAAGTGAATATAATTAAGCTTGTATGTGGCATTTGCTAATCTGATATATTTAACATTGTAAATTAAGCAGATAATAAGAGATTGCTGCTTGAATTTTCAAGTAATTAAGACTTTGTGATTTGACTACAAAATCAGAGTTACTATAACTAATAAGAATAGTGCTTCTATTCTTTAAGATTATATAGATAATTGGAAAGTTCTTAGCTCTATTAATATATTAAAGAGCTTAAGTTAACATCTGTAAGTTCTTCTTTGTAGAATTTGAAGCAATACAGATGAACAACACCTGCAAGAGTTTAGAGCCTCAGCTTGCAAGCTGTTGGGAGTACATGTATTCTTATGAGACACTAAGTCATGTGCTCACAAGCACACATAAAAGAATGTTACTGTGTGAATCTCTTGTTAGAAGCCAGTGGCAATCTTGTCTACAAGTTGTATATAGTTACTAATACCAGATCTTTACTCTTGTGTACTCTTTTCTATATACAATTTCTTCTATAGATTCATTGTCATGCTAATCCACACATACAATTCTCACACTTAGTATCACACATAAATGTTGTGAATATATTATATATATGCTTATCTACTATCTTTCTCTCTTTCTTCAAGCAATATATTTATATATATAGAGTCTTAACTAGTAACTTCAGCTTGGCTTATAACATTACATATTGCTTTCTTTCACTCTACAAGATAGATGCTCATCAACAGAAGAATAGAAAGAACAGAACTACAGAGATGCATCTCAGAAGTCTTTACACACACTAGTAATTATAGCTGTATCAAAAGTACAATACCCCCCAACAAAATAACTATGGATTTATATATACCTTCTGATTTCAAAACAATGACCAGCTTGAATCTTCAAATAATTTCTAATACCTAAAAATAATCAGTTTTATCTAATTGCTATTTACATCCAAGCTTTAGCTTTAGTCTCTTGGAGAATACCAGTTAACAAAGTCTTTACTGCTTTAAGAATTCCTGCTAGAACTCTCTAGATAATCGAAAAACAAGCTAAAGACTACAGCTATAAGTCTCAAGAGAACCAGCAAATTGACATTTCATTTGTTGAAGATGCAAAGCAATCAGGACACTCTAAAAAGATAAATTCCAGTAAAAAATCTAAGATATTGAATTTGATTTGTAAGAATAGAGCTGGCTGAGAGAAATCCACTGAGATTCTTGTCTTTGAATATAATATATCCCACTCAAGTGTTTGGTGAATTCTGCAGCATTATAACTTTATTAATGCTAAACCTACTTGGAAACCTGGTCTAACTAAGTCTATAAGAGAGAAAAGGCTGAAATTTGCTACTGCTTACAAGAATTGAACTCTAGATAACTGGAAAAATATTATCTGGACAGATAAGACTTCAGTTATCTTGAGACATTAATAGAAAGTTCTTTATATATGAAGAACAACTTTGGAGGCTTATGATTAAATCTATATCTGGTAAAGATAGAAGAAGACTTCAACTTTCATATTTTGAAGCTGTTTTATCTATAAAAAGAAGACTTCTTGTTATATTTGAACTGCAGAGACTTCTGCAGAGAAGCAGCAAGCTTCAAAGAAATTGAATAAGTTTAATATTGCAAGAGAAGCTGAGACAAAAGAGAAATAAGAGCTTAATACTGCTATATAATAAATAAAGCTTTATGAAATCTTTGAAAGAAGACCGGTCTTTTGATTTACAGAGAAGAATGGAAAGCTGGTTTGCAAAGATAATAAAAAAGTAGATTGGTATAGATATCAGAAGATCTGAATATTTTCTGAATTTCTACTGAAATAAAGACTAATTCCTTGCTTTATTCTAACTAGAAGATTCTTATTCCCAAGCTTATTCTCTTTGCAAAGAAGTGTCTTAAAGATTGACTGAAGACTCTAATGCAAAAAGATGGAGCACCAGCATATATTTATTTTGTGCAGAGAAAGTTATATAGTTTACATGGAAGAAAGCAGCTGCTTTAGCCAGGGAATTCACAAGATTTAAATACAATTAAGCCTGCTTGAATATAGATGAAAAGACATACAACTTCTTATAAAGCTTCACATGAAATCAAGACTGCAAGAAAGATTTGGCTGCAAGTCTGGAATAAGCTTTTGCAAGAAAAGATTTAACAGTAGATTAAGTGAATTCCACATTACATTAAAGAGATTATACAGCTTGAGATAGAGAATAAGTATAGAGATGGTGGTTATAAGGGTTCTCAAGAGTATAAGGATCAGTGTTTAAAGGGAAAGATCTCAAAACACCAGAATCTAGAAAGAAATTGCTTAGCTAGTAGATTAGAAGCTACAAACTGAACAAAACTACATTTATTTGAAAGATATGTCTTTCTCTAACAAGCTTTCCAATTTTCATGTGAATTATCTTGCTGGTTGTTGAGATATAAGTGGAAATAAATAGTGCCAGCCTTATGCCTGTCAGTAACACTTCTCATACTATTACTCAGCAACCACATGATCTTTTTATCTGAATTTTGAGAGACAAGCTCAATAACACTTTTTAAACAAACTACCAAATTCTCTTTACTATATCTTTCCTATTTGTTGTGTTATTACACTCTTTTTATCTGAAAAATCTCTTAGCACACACTTTCTTATTTTGATTTTTCTTGCCAAGACTCTTGCTTACTCACATTTGTTGAGATGTGCCAAGCTAAGCTAGAGTTTTTATCTTATCTTATCTACTTCCATCTTATCTCTCTGCCTCTTTTCATCTGATCTTTGCTCCCCAGGCTTCACACCAGCACTAAATCAGCTCTATCAACTTGATATAGAGAGTTGGACCCCTACCCTTCTCAGGCCAAACTCTTAATAGCATGCTGTGTAGGAGACCTCCATGCTATTCCTGTTTTAGCTTAGCACCACACATCAATATTGTGAATATATCATACATACACTCATCTACCAATTTTTCTCTCTCTCTCTAAGCAATACATTTATGTATATAGAGTCTTAGCTAGCAACTTCAGCTAGGCTTATAACATTACATATTGCTTTCTTTTTCACCATACAAGATAGATGCTTATGAGCAGAGAAATAGAAAGAATAGAATTACAAGAGACAGTACTAAAGAGCCAGTTTTATACTTATATTTTAAGATATCAACAGTAGCTGTGAGAATCACAAACTACAAACACAACCTGAATGCTTATGTTTGAATCTCCAGAGTCTCTTCCAGACACCACAACTAGCTACAAAACAATGGAAAAGTTAGAGAGAAATGCACTGGCATGGTTCTTAGATTATCAACATGTCTAGAACCAGATAAATAAGAATCTGCATCAGCAGCTGAAAGTTATTCAGAATAATACTGACTTTAATTCAGCTAGCACTAGCAAAACTTCTGTCAAGTGCTCTCATTACCAGCTCTCTAATTACATCTGATTTAATAAAAAGAACTTGAGTCTGTATTCAAGCTTTAAAGTAAATCTACAAGACAAGTTATAAATTGACAGACATATTATTAAAAATAAACAAGATCAAGCAGTCTACATGAACTTATAATTAAAGAAAGATGCAGCTAAGATGATACTTCTTTAAGTTAAAGCTCATTATAATATAATGAAGTACACACTTAAAGAATTCTTCAAGCAGATAAGACTAGTCTTCAGCAACCCTGCACATTAATAAAAAGCTTTGCAAAGTCTATACTCAATTAAACAAGAACAGATCTCTTTCATAATTTTTTTGTCTAAATGTAATCATCTTCTTCTTGAATCAGATATGCTGATAAATGACTAGTTAAGAAAGAAATATCTATAATCAGCTCTGAGCATCAAACTGATAGAAAGAGCCATTGAAATATCTACAGCTGAGATCTACAAGAAATACTGCACATAACTTTATCAGATTAATCATCAGATACAAGAGCTAAATCAGATCAAATCTTGTGCATATGTGTGTTTCTTCACCTCCAGCTTTAACACTAGATTTTATACTCTGAAAGAGTCTGCTCTGCTTTCTGCTGGCAATTTCATGAATCTTTCTATCAGTGCCAGAAGGCAGCTCCAGTGAGCTAAACTAGTAGATAACAAGAAAATAGAGCTATAATGGCAAAAAGAACTCTGTCTATATTGTAATCAGTCAGATTACATGATATAAGTCTGCTTTTATGCTCTGTCTTGACACCCACAACACTAAGATAAACCACAATTCATAACTACTGTTTATGGCACACCAAAACTGAAAAAAAAATATACAATAAAGAATAATAAGAAGAAGAAAAAAAAGTAGCTTCTGTCAAAAAGTACTAGCAGAAGCACTGCAAGAAGCTTATATAAGAGAAGTGAAGAAAGTTTAAGAAGATATCTACTACAGAACTTTTTATCATGCATGTAATTATTAATAATACAGGTGTTGCTAAAACTATAATAAATAATAAATGCCAAGATTACTCTCTCATCACTTTTCAAGTTATACAGAAGTATAAGCTTGAGTGTATATTTATCTTCAAATAAATACTAAAGAAATTCAATACAAAGAACTACAAGACAATAAGATATATGGTGAAAATAAATCTGAATATTGGAAAACACAAAACATAAGAAGT